TATATGAATAAAATAAAACATATAACCTATTCACTATTTAAATTTTGGGGTTTACATACATACCATTTTATATCATGCTATATAGATATCCAACACTCATATTTTTAATATGAAATGCATACCACCCATAAACAACTTTAATATCAAATATGTCATTACTATATTTCATTCCTACCATCCATACCACCCTATAAACTTTAATATTTCATTCATAGCATTTATATTTGATTTATAGGTGGTAGGCATGAAATATTAAAGTTTTGGATGTTAGATATGTAAAGAGCATGATATAAAATAGTATGTATGTAAATCCCCCTTTCTTTTTTATTAAAAAACATACATAAGAAGCAAAAATATCTAGAAATGAAATTGCAAACTACACATGAGGTTGAAACAATCAAAATTGATCAATATATAGTATTTCATTTTTATTAAATTATTAATAAAAATATCATTGCTGTAAATTTCATGTTTATAATTTAGATGTTAATGTACCAGATCCATGCCTGAAATAGAAAGTGTAATGATTAATACAAGAAAGCATAAGATAACGAATGTATGAGTAGGAACTAAATGAGTAAAATAAACTCAAAGCAGTTTTAGACAGCACTTTAGGGAAAAAGATGCAGGTTTATGTATATAACGTAAGTTTAATTTTTTTTTTTCCTATGTTAATGAAAAATGTTCCTTTTGCTTTTAACAATTTCAAGGATGGAAAAATTAACTTAAAAAAGGAATTTTCTATTTTGTCAAACTACATGAGGTTATATGATATATAATGAAATCAAGAGAGATAAATCATGATTATTCATTTCTTTTAATGAATTTAAAAAAGATAACAAAAATGTTTTAGTAATTATAGAAAAACATATCATGAACGGTAAGTTGTGAGCATTTAGTCAACACATTCTTACTATTTACTATTAAATGGCAATTTGAAATTTCACTAGCAAAAGAAAGAAGACATTTCAAGTTGAAAAAAAAAAGAAACCCTTACATTCCCTTCTAAATTACAAGCATCACTTTAAATGCTTTCAATTTAGTCATTTTATTTAGTATTTGTGTGCCTTCAATTAACTACTTTTCTTTACACATAATAGATGATACATCAATCTCTTATTATTGCTTTCTTCCTTCATTTAGCCATGATTTTTTCCTCAATATTTGAATTTTTATTAGTTGTTGCACCCCTCTCAATTGATTCATTCGTTGATTTCAGTAGATTCAGAATTAGTTTATCACCCACACTCTCTCCTCTCATAAAGCCATCATTATTTTCAAGCATTTATGATCAACTTTAGTCCACATTTTCAAATCATTCAGATTGAGTGTTTTCTTAGGTGTAATATATTCTTTGCAATCATTTTGAACAACTTATATCTATATGTTACCATAATATATCCATTCTCCTTTCTTAATCACATAATAAGAATTTTATCCGTTGTCCAAATGATGCAACTTCTACCCTTATTGCATATGTCCAAATCACCCAGGCCAATTTACAAACACCTTCCTTCAATAGATATCCCTCCCATTATTCCCCTAGCATAATCAATCTTCAACTTATTCTTCTTAATTTTGCCACCATCTATCTCATGTTTACTGTAATTATAAATTACTTTTTTACCATACAACAATCAAAGAAAAATAATTCAATGTCAACTTAACTATAATTTATCAAATTTCTCATTAAGCTTCCATAATATGTTTTAATCATATAATACTCTATTTTAATCACTCAAAATTCACTATAAAACTATACCATCCTCTATATTCCTATGTTTCTACAAAAAAAATATAACATACTTAAAATATCACAAGTATGAACCATTTAATATTCTAATAACATTGGCATTTGTTAACCTCACATACATTTATATTGCATATCATATATTCAATATTTGTTCTACTAAAAATAAGCACGCCGGTGAGCAACTTGAGTCCGACCGCCCTCTACGACACCTCTACTACGGATTTTAGGTTTTTTTTTTAATTCAAGGTTTGATTTTTCAAGTTATAGAAAATATATGGTTAAAAATTTTTTGAGATTTTTTGTTTGATTTTGCATTTGTACATTGGGAAACATGGTTAGGAAAAAGGAAAAGTCAAATATGTCATTGCGGATGGACCCTTCTTGGAAGTACAGCGTACAAGTTGATGTAGGCGGTAATGAGAAGACATACGTGTATTTGAAATGCAATTTTTGTGATGGGACATGATTAAATTTTAGATGTTCTTTCTTATTTGTACTTTGGGAGTTTTGACTTTTGATAGACTTCAAGTTGTGATTTTGTACTTTGAATTATGCTATGAGATGCATATATTACATCTATTTTATTATTTTCCATTAAGCTCACTTATCATTTAGATGTTTTTATTGTATCATAGACTCTGTTAGAATACTTAAATTCCCATTCGAGGCTTATTTAAGCAATTTTAAACCTTGAAAATCATATTTTGGAAGTTCATCCTGAATTCTGAACTAAACATATAAATAATGCATCAAATTAACAAAAAAAGTTCAGCATACCTTTGCCTCTTCATCCCTAATTGAATGTAGACGAAAACGTCCCTTAGTGTCATAAAGAAGCCGGAAATTTTCATTAGTTTTTGGGATTTGGACAACATCTGAAAGAAAAGTAGCATAATGTAAATTTAGACAAATTCAACATAACAACTAAACACATTATAACAAGGCATTATAGCAGATTATGGGGATCAAGTAGATTTCATAGTAAGCATACCCATAAACCCAGCAGGATAGGTCTTGTCTGTCCTAACCTTTCCGTCCACCATCACATGTCGCTGCATCAATATGGCAATGACTTCACGATAAGTGAGAGCATACTTCAGCCTGTTCCTCAATATAAGTATCAAGGGCAAACACTCCCTAGCTTTATGAGGACCAGAGGATGGTTTTGGGGCCTACAAAGAAAAGATAAAGTTCTCTAATAAGAGAAAAAAAAATGTGAATGTCCTACAATAGTGAATGAAATTTTGATTTTCAAACTTACAAAAGCACCACCAAGTTTATCAAGCATCCAGTGCTTGGGGGCATTGAGCCTCTTGAGATGTTTCTTCAATCCCCTAGCCTGAAAAACAGAAAATGAAAATAAAAGTAGAAAGGTTGATCAATAAGAAATTCATGCAGCCATAGGTTCATAATTCAGCAGCCATCTTTGAACTTTATGGCACTAACAAAGGTAAGAAGAATTATACAGAGTATATTCAAACCAAAAAAATATTAACACAAGTTCCAGCATCTATTATTTCATGCCCAAAATTTTCCGATCGTAGAGTAAAGTTAGACATTAATAAACCATGAACAATTTGATGGGAGATAAACAGGAAATGAAAGCATGAACATGTCATCAACATGCATTTTGAGCATTAGGCTGAAAAGGTGAAAAAAAACATCCATAATTGGTTCCAAAGCTCTTCCATCTTAAAGACATCATTATTTGGAGTACATTTCATAAGAGAATCACGGTGTAACCCTAGCTTGGGAAGACTTGCAGATCCAACTTTATACTGAGCATACATAAGTTATTCTTTCACAATTAATTCAAACTTATGACGATATCTGAAAGTGAATCGGCAATGATACCAACAAAATGAACCAAAGATGAACCAATTCTAAAAACCACGACGACCCTAGAAATTTGATGGGTTACAGGTATCAATGAAACTAGGCGCTTTTACGCAACACAATCCATGTATTGTCGTTTCCATCTAGCTATACAAGGGAAGTACCTCAAGGAAAAGAAAAAAATACACTAATTCAGCCATGAAATCGAAGAATAGAAAGAGATCATGACAATAGAATCCTAAAACTAGATCAGAACACGAAGAAACCGTACCATATCTGATCAGGGTTTTTCCCACTGGAGAAGAAGCTGCGCCACAACACCAAGTCGAACAAGTCTGCCTTCTCTTCCCCTTCGTATACGAGATTAAAGAAGCAAGCTATTTAAAGCTAGGGTTTGACGACCTCCAACCGCCACAATGACATAATTACCCTCCATTTTATGGGCGCGCAAGCCCTGATGCTCAACATGTCAAATGTATTAGCCCTAAAGATATTAGGAAATTTTATTTGTTTCATTATATTATATTGATTTATTTTATTTGATGGTAGAGAACGTTAGAATCCTTAATAAATAGACAGAGAGATTATTATCTGCGGATATGTAATATGTCCGGAGGCTAATTAGGAGTTATCATGTCATGTATTGTACTATGCATTACGTAACATGATGGCTTCTGATTAGCATCCGCACGTAATAATTTTTCGTATAGAAATCTTTTATTGACATTCTCGTTACATATTTCTATCATTAATTCTTAAAATTTATTTGTTTCATTCGAATTGATTTTTTTCACGATAGAAGATATTAAAATATAATAATTTCATCTAAAATAAACATTAAGATATATTTCTCCGAAAAAGCAAACAATTGAGATGTTTATTGAATTACTTTTATCATGAAGTGCACAAAGTCATAGTAGTAAATTAACTTTTGATGAGATTTTTAGGATTATTACTACCTAAAATATAATAGAAATATAATGACAATTAGTTAGAATATTTTCTTTTTAGATAATAGGACTTCTTTTCTAATATTGTTTATATTATTTATTTTTTTCAAAGCACATTTTTTTTTCTTTTTTAAATACTCAATAGCTTATTTAATTACTTAAAATTTATTAAAACTCTAAAAATTCAAATGTTTGAATTAATGATATAAAACTTATGAAGATATTTTTTTTTTTCTCATTCCAAAGACATAATAATCTAACTCTATTATTACTTATAGAGTGTTTTAATTTGGTATCAAATACAGTACACTTTTTATGGGACCACATAACTTAATTTTTATGAACTTTCTATGATGAAAATTAGTCTTAAAGAAATAAGAAGAAAGGATATAAGTTGTTAAAAATGATTTTCAAAGAATATATTTAACACTAAATAACACTTACCGAGAATAAATGAAAAGAATAAGTTGATAGCACAAACCCTTTATTGTTAGGATGAGGATGATGATAAAAATGTGAACACATGTGAATAAATATTTATAGAAAAGATCTAATGTCATAAATATTGATATATTTCTTTAAAATATGTTGAGATTAAGATAAAAATGAGGAATTAAATTTTTAACCAATAAAGATGAGGGATATAATGAAAGTATGATACATCTCACTACTTGCTATTGAGCCTTATTATTGTTAGTTCTATGTGGAATTTGATTGTGTCGATCAATTGGGTTATGTTGTTATATCGGATCTCAATTCGTTGGCCGAGCTCATTGTGGGTTGAAGGGGGTCTTCCCCATGAACATCTACTTTTTTCCGTACAACCGTAAATTGATGCAGCACGGTATAGTTTGGTTGGAAATAGACAGAGAGTGGAACGATGTGGCACTCCAAACCCTGGTGTTGTGGCTCTGCTAGTCAAACTAGAGATAAAGAGTAGAGTGTCCTGGCATTGCGAGTCAGGCTAGACAAATTTCATTCTCGTTTTTCATGTTTAACTTGAATGGTTGCATCTCTTCATCCATTATGTGTGTAGAAGGGTGCAAGAGTGAAGAGAGACAATGTGAGAGTAAAAAATAAAGAGATTTGTAATTTTCTCCAAATTTTAATAATGAAATTATTGGTGTGACTTTGTAGTTTTTTCACAATTTTGAGTTTTTCCACTTAAATCCTTGTTTTCTTTCTTTTCGCAGCAATTTTCTATTTCTTGTTTTCTTCACTACGTGGTTTTACTTCCCCAACAATTACGTCTAATTGATCAACTATTATTGATCTAACGGAACTTAATGTGATTGTGGTGCTGGAGTAATATTCGACCCACTTCTTTGCTTTGAATCATTATCTCTAAAGTTGCAAACAAATAAATAAGAGGATAGCAATCAATTTAACTAAAAAAATTGTGCTTAAACATCCATTTCCAACATAAATGCAGGTGTTCCTACATGCAAAGCACAAACATTACATAGTTTTTTCAACTAAATAAAGCAAACCAACCAAAATTTTTTAAAGAATAAAACAAAGCAAAGTTACTTAACATTCTCATCTCTTCATCAAAGAGACCAAATCATTGAACCCGCAGCCACCATCTATAATTACATATAACATCAGAAAAATACAACAGCTTAAGCTATTTTTCATATTCAAACTTCCTGAATATAAGCATTTCCTTCCCTTCTAAAACCAGAAGACAAATCAGTAAAATTGTTTTCTACCTCCTAAGGATTCCAGATAGGTTCATGTGGGCTAAAGAAGAGGCCATAACTCTGGAATTCAGCAGCTGGAGTGCATCAGAAGATTCAATACACCTTGGGGTCTTGTACTGATTTATCGAACCGCCTTGACCGATGAGAAGATCCATTAGAGCTTCAAATGTGCCTATCTCGACAACTCGAATCTCCAGGGGACCGACATAGTTATTGTGAGTTCGACATCTTCGATAAACATAGCCAAGTGAGTCCTCAACAACACTGCAACATGCTTGAAGTAGTTCAGTATCAAATGAGATTACTGTGTTCATGGCTTTTGCAGTACATACAATCTCCCAGAATAAGACATAGTGGCCAGGGATCATTAATGTATCAGCATAACTTGTGTATTCCACAAGAAGAAGATCACGAGCTTCTAAGAGCCTCTTGGCAGCAGTTATGCTCTTGTATAGATCTTCTTCATTTGTTTTGTCAGAATCGATGCTTAGGACAACATTTCTGCGACATATGAACTTGAATTGGGGAGCTTGGTTGTAGAAACTAGCTACTTGAAGAACATCACCAACTCGATACCGGTGCAGACCTGCATCATCAGTAGTAATGTAATAGAAGAAAAATTGTTCTTGATTCATAAATGACAACTTTGTTATTGCTTTCTAAAACAACTCTGTAGTACAAAAAAATATTGAAAGCAGTAAAAAAACAATGGTTAAAAGCTGCCTCAAACGGAGTTATACTAATGGACTGATCTTCAATAAACACTTTTTTTTTTGAACTTACCGTCACTTTTTTTCTTTTTCTTATCTTGATTTGATTTTATGAATCTTCCAATACCATCTATTCACACTCATAAAACCTTGATGAGAGAATTACATATTCATTTCATATTTACCTTTGGAAAATTAAACATGAATTAAGGTTTGATGCGTTAAAGAAGAGAGAGATGAAAGGGAGGGAGAGAACTACTGCTTTCTTTTTGTCACGGTTGAGAGGGACTTGCCAACTAAAATGTGAGAGCAGCATATGGTTGGATGAACAAAATATGGAGAGCTCCATCACATAAGCCATGTGAACAAGCAAAACTAAGATAAAAAGCATGATTAAGGATTCATTTGGAGAATTTGTGCTCATATTGTGCTTTTGTTATATTGCGTGAAAAAATTCATCTCACTGATCCTTAAGTCAGCCCATATGCTTATATAAAGTCATAAGAGAGCGCAAAATAATGATTTTTAAGCATGCTCCACACATGAATCATAACTACTATTCAACAATTTAACAAAAAAAAAAAAGCTGAACCAGACACATAAAACAAGCAAAACTTTGCATAAGATAGAACAATCTAATAGCTTCTGCACTGAAATCATAACTTATATTAGAGAATCAAACGAGTACCAAGAATCCACTGTAAGAACTTTAATTGTCAGATTATAAACCAGCTGATCATACTTCCATGCATACCTGAAAAAGTAGTAATCACAAGCTCATAATAGAGTCCAGGCTTAACATCAGCCAGGTCCACCAAATTCTCCCCATCCACCACATCCTCATCATCTCTGCAGCCAGAACTCTGTCCTAGCCAACGTTGAAGTGGCAAAAACTCAAAATAAGCCATGTTAGGCAGCAGAGTATAAGTCACCTCGGCTGGATCACTCAGAGGACAGAGGTTCACACCAAAATAACATTCTGATGATGCATACATTGTGCAAACCAGTGGTATCCCCCCTCCATAGAACTCCAGCGCCGGTACATACTGAGCCATTGATCCAGTCAGCACAGCCTCTATGCACCTTGCTTCGGGCCACAATCTCCGCAATATCCCCCTCCATGATCTCCCTCCCTTTTCATCACTATCACTTCCATTGCAGATCTGCTGAACCTCATCAGCCAATGCTGGGTTGGGGCCAGTAAGCAACTTGCACATTGCAGCACGACAGGCAGGATCAGAAACAATGGAGCCAGGTCTTCCGAGGCGAATGTCAATGACAAAGTCCGCCCAATGCCGCTCCAGAAAGTGGATGGAGCGAAGAAGGCAGAGGCAAAGACTGCACCAACGCGTAGAACGTGGTGACGGTGGATGAGACCCGCAAGGAGCTGACAGTACATAGACTGGTGAACATCAGTGCAGAGAATGGCCTCATTGGGGCTTGTCAAGTCGTTAAAGGAATCGGCAGCACGGAAGCGGAAGCGTTTGCTTTTGTAGTAGCTGGTGAGGACAGGGCGGGCGGCGAGTCCAGAGGGAGTTGGCATCTCTCTTTTCACAAAGAGGAGGTGCATGGCCTTGCCTTTGTCAAGTCCTGGAATGTACCTGAATGGAAGTTTGCTTCTTAACAAGAGAAGAAACTCAATGGCTTATTTTGACTTACAAAGCTAACTTGGTTCATGATATGTCCAAGTAGAACTGTAACAACTTGATGTACGAATTTGGTCCCATGCTTACACGAATCAAGTGATGAATTTGTAAGGTTTGAGAACTATATTTGTGAGAATCAAATTGAAAGAGTGCAGAAAAAGAAAATGATGGAATCCTATTCAGAAATATTAGAGATACTTCAAATGAATGAAATATCACGAAATCATCTAGGATCATGCTTGCGCTTGCAGATAAATGATCATGCTTGCGCTTGCAGATAATGATACTATAAATGAGCTTGATAGCTTACGACTGACCTGTTCATTATGGGCATGATGAGGTTGTAGAGATAGGTCCGACGATCGAGATCCTCTGCAATGGACGGCATCAACCTTGGCTCACCACTGGATGTCCCTGAGCTGCATTCAACCAAAAACAAGAGGGAAAGAAAGATTGTGGAAAGCTCTTTAGAAGAGTTAACTCAAATATTCGTAAAGAAAAAAATAATTTGTGCTTCTAATTGAATCATAGATAGTGGGTCCTTCTTCAGTGGGGATCAACTTAGCGATTTGCCCCCACCATTGATCACAGTATCAAGATAAGGCAGATAGATTGAAGACAAACATAAAAACATTTTTGCTTCCTCTAAAAAAGGAATATAAAATGAACTACTTCAAGGTGCAATTTACCAGGGAGGGAAATCAGATTTTACCTTATCAGCAGCTCGGTGATAGATTGTCCTGAGATGATGGAGGAACTCTCTCCATTGGCAATCCTTTGAATGTAAGGATGGATTCCCTCATATGTGATCACAGGGACCATTTTCTTATATTTTTTCACATCAACAGAACCATTCATGTACTTGTTCAAGTATTCAGTTGCTGCATTTCTTGTAAGGATTTCTTTCAGAATGTTCCGTTGGATCTCTGAAGTTTTCATTGTTAGTTGCTCAAGCTCTTTTAGTGCTGCCTCCCCTTTGTACTCCAAGGTCTTCCCATCCATGAATGAAAGCAGCCTTGCACTTTCTTAGCAGATAAACGATGGCAGAACCAAGTAATGATGCATTTGCAAGGCATTGGTTTAGTATTTATAATGAGGAATTTGATAAAGTTGGAGAGCAAATCTCTCTTTTTTGTGTCCATATGAGAGCGCAAAACCATTGGCACGGAGACCCCATGATCTTTGTTCTTGACAAGACATTATGCTTCAATGCGTAAGGAACTCCCACTATTGTTTTTTAAGTGAACTTTAAGAGAGCAATAGAGAGGCATGACAGTTTTGATTGGCCAACGGTAATGCTTCCTTATGTGACATCTCGAATTTGAAGAGGACAATATGATGAGGGTGATGAGTGATTATTAGGGCTAAGGTTCGTCAAGGAGTGACATTTGGGATGCTTGTAGAATGATAAACATTTAAGAGAAAAAAGGAGGTAATAACGAACCAAATCTCACATAGGAGTAGGAAAAGATATTGAATTATATGAGTAAAGAGTTGGGTCATAACACTTGAAAATCTTGTTGTAATAGAAATATTTCTTTTGAGAACTTCACAATTAAGTATACTTGCAATGGAGCACTAATGGATTAGTGATCTCCTGAGAAGTCACATAAAAAAGGATAAAACCATGAGCTTTAGCCATAAGTGGGATTGGTTTAGTCAAAGCAGATAATATATTACGTAAGTATAGACTAGAGTGTTACAATTGGTATAAATGGCTAACTTTTTATAGTATGTCTTGGGGTTCAAGATCAAACCAAACAAAAGATAGTAGGCCTGCAACATAGATGAGGGCAAGGAGTCATCATTGGATCTAAGGACTCATGACAAACTTCTAAGATAGGATGTTTTAAGAACATATTGATAAAAATAAACCAAACCTCGCATTGCTAGTGGAGGAAAGGATATTGAGTTATATAAGCAAGAGTTAATCATAATACATAAAATACCTTTTATTGTAAAGGATGAATTTCCCTTGGAAATCCCATAGCCAATTTTGTAATAAAATGCCCTTGAAATGAGTGACCTCTTAAAAATATATACAAAAAGAACACAATAAGAAAGTATAGCTTGGTGTGAGACAAATTAGGTCAAAACAGACAATATTTTACATATTATCAAGTACATGTGTGGCAAAGGTAAAAAATATTTATATAGCAAAAGAGACACGGTCGATATTTACATGATTTAACTTACATATTGGCCTATGTCGACTCCTAGTCCCCAACTTGAATTAGGATTCCATTATATATGCATGAAATCACAAGATCACTCATTCGCTCCTCGTAGGGGCATAAATCCTCACACTCTCTTCCTTGGATAGGAAGCAGAACCTTACCTTAATTAGGGCAAGAGCACCATCTCTAAGCCAAAGCGTAACAAATATAATAAAAAATCTAAGACTTTGATGGCGACTAAAACTATCACAGACTAATACAAAATTTATATAATTCTACTACAAAATTCTTTCAAATGATATAAAGCAAATATAAATACATAAATATAAGATCGAGATGAAAACTTTACTCTAAATTGTACTCAAATGTTGTTGATGAGGATGAAACTCGATTGCTTTAACTAGAGATGTAATCTTTAGGCTCAAAACATCTCTATTTATGTGAAAATTAGAGTGAATATCATCATCTAATTGTTAGTGTTATATGAGTATATTTAGAGTATATTAAGATTTCAAAAGTAACCCAAACATTCTTTCAACTAGCAAATTTTAGCAACAATCAATTCCCAATTATTATAATCAATCAATCATTTAAATATCTAGTAAAATAGGAAATAGTTAATATTTTAAAAAATCATAATAAATTCAATTTTAATCAAACTTATGTCACATTGAAATACCTAAAAACACACATCAGCTATTTCATGGACTCTTTGCTTTCTGTAAATGTCTTTATTCACCATGTATAGCTCATCTTCATGCTACAAAGTCTTCAAGAATTTTGTAAAATAGATCATCATCACTATGGATAGGCTAATTCATGGTTAACCTGTAGAATATTTAGGAAACTATTAGATGAGAGTCACACATAAGTCGCACAACTCAATATTTAGTAGAAAAATACCACCAAGTAGAAAAATACCACCATATATATATATATACCTCATCCCACCGAGTCCCTCACTTGATTGTTTGGCCAAGAAGAAATTAAAAGAGGGGAAGAACAAAGAGGAGAGAGAAAAATTTTTGGATCATATTTATCAGTCACTCTTGTTGTAGATTTTATTTTATTCATTGTGAGTAATTAATCTCTTGCATTTGTTTTTAGTGATTTTGATTTCTACGGATTTTATCTCTTCTAAATCTGCCAAAAATATATCATCTTCTAATTTCATAAGCTTTCACCATGCAAGTTTGTATATATTATAGATTTGATCATTCTAAATGATTTGATATGATTTTATTGCATTTTAAATGAAGTACTGAATGATATCAGATACATGATATGATAACTCCACATGATACCCTACTGGTCAATGTGATTCACTAATTGGAAGTCATAAGAAGTTGGAGATTAATTGGGAGTTATAAGGTGTCAGGGAGACTAATTCACATGATTTTAGGAGAGTTATAAGGAGTACATTAATTGATGGAGAGATATAAGAGACGATTGATTGGGAGTCATAAGTGCAGGAGCAAGATACTCTTAAGATACACTTATTGATACCGACACTACTACGAATATTGTATTATTATTGTGACTAATACTAATACTTTTTACTATAATTAACACTATTTAACGTTATTGATCATGATTCTAATATTGTTACTAGTATTAGTATTGTTGACTATGACTGATGATGTAATGGATTGAGATGTGATGAACTATAAAAGAATAAATTAATACAGATAATTAGCATAAATATTGATGCATATATTTATTTATATGATTTATAACATATTGTTCTCTTTTATCTTGCATTGCTTTCATTTGTAATATTTTATTTACTTGTTGGGCTATGAGCTCATTATGTGGTTTTACATGTTTTCAGGAAAGGATAAGAATCCTATGATATGAGGCTTCGGACAAGACAAAATTTTAATCATATTGTTTTTGTTGTTCATTCGTAAGCTTTAGTTAAATGATTAAAATGGAAGACAAATGCAATTCTTTCAATATATATCATGGAGTGTAACAAATGTAATATTTGTGATTTAAGTTGCACAAAAAATAAAGCAAATAGATAAGAGACATCACTAGTATATTAAAAATCTCAACTCAATTTGTGCTCTCTTAAAGCGACACAAAGCTGTTGAATAATGCAGTTGATTAAATGCCAAATTGGTATGGGTTTCTTGTTAATCATTGCAATGTAAACTCTCTTTAAATTTAAAGGCTAAAAGCGAGAGACAATATGAATGTGGGATGCATTTTAAATTTAACCTGTCTTCTATGTATTTTCTCACTGTTTTTAGTGCTATATGCGTCAATAAAACAGTTCCAGCTCCTTATCTTAATCGATTTCAACCCAAAATATCAATAATAATAACTGAAAATTTAACCACATGCAAATGATCTCAACTACAACACCAAGAGAACAGGAGAGAGTATCTCTACAGAAGTAGAGACAGAAATTGGATTAGCTTGGATTTTCAAAAGGAAACGCAACAATCTCCATTGTAATTCTAGTCAAAATAACCGCTTCACATTCCTATAATAATCTTAAGAATATTACATATCAATTGAATTGAATGGATTATCAGGTTACAATTATCATAAAACTCACAAAAGATATACATATATAAGAACAAAGGAGATTATTCCCAGATAAGATGGGATCACATTCCATTTATTACAATATCCTTCTATAGTTAAATTTGATAAGATTTAAAAATGACAGTCATGTAAAAACAAAAATAGCTGATAGGAAATAAAGTCTAGTTAAATTTCTTGTTCCCTTGAGAATCAAATGAAAAAAAAAAAAAAAAATCTGAAGGAACCAAAGGAAGAACTTTAAGATATTGGAAGCACTTGAAGGCATGCTCTGCTTCAGATTTGCTCAATAAAGTCCAATTGCTAAATGCTCATGTCATTATCTGAACCTTTTGAATTTTTGCTCTGCTTTGAAAGCCGGTGCTTGTCGCACCTCATGACATCTCTAATCTTTATAATCTTTTTTTGGCATATGCAGAGCCCCCACCATCACTACCACCGCTGCCAACACCACCACCACCACCAAACTTTCTCAAGCCAGCTAAATGTTTTGGCTCAATAATTAGCCCATGCTTGACAAGTTTTTATAAGATTATTTATTTAACGAGCTAAATAAAAAAACATCCGTATTAGATCATGTTCAACTTGATTGATAGTAGCTTGATTAGGTTCATTTATACACAAAAATATGTATGTTTATACATTTATGCATGGATACTTAAATATATGCATTTGTGTGCAACATAGATTGTATATACTCATATTCATACATTTAAATTCATATTTATATGGATATAGTTTTATAAATATTGCAAAATGAAAATTCTGTAATCTGTACATCCCTATTAGAATTCTTTGCCATGTATGTCAAGGGGAGAGCACCTATGATCAAATTATGGTGATTATCACTCATGGATTCAACATCTAGAGACTGCCATTGGCTTTTCATTGTAACACAACTTCATTTGCCGCATCATTAAGAGTCAGATCTGCCTGTGATCTTATCCACCATCTTGTTCAAGTTGACAAAATATTCTCATTATTGAGTCCATTCAAATTGTTTCCTTAGTGGGGGATTGATTGATTCCAACTACAGTACAAGAAACTTTATATCTGCAGCCTCTATAGTTGTTGAACTATTGATAAAGGGAAAGTAGCTGTCTTTTGATACTGTACAGCGCAAGATAGAGATTGCCATTAGTCATGGGTGCTTTAAAAAGCAGAAGATTTCCAGTATCTTCCTTAACAATAGACATTTGATGATTACTTGTTCTTTTAATTTAGAACACACATATGCATGGTACTGTTGTACATCTCTCAACTTGTTTATAC